CTTCCTGCTCTGCATCCATTTGTTGAAACATATCAATTGGCATTCCGTCAACTCTTGGAGCCTTGTTTCTCGCGAGTGCCTTCAGTGCAGCTTCGACCTCTTCCTTCAGTACCATTGGTTCTTGATCATATGCTACCTCTTGAAATGATTGAACGCAGACTAATTCTTTTTGGTATGGTGACTTCATTTTCTTTTGACGCTTCCTGCATTGTTTAATACTTTCCCTGTAGAATCCTTCAGTATTGCAACTTGAGGCTTGAAGTTTTCCTTCAGTTCTTTCAGCTTGAGAAATGCTGAGCGTGTTCTTCCCTTTTGGTTTTCTATCTCCATGTCTTTGCACACGTCATTATAATATTTTACTTTGTCTTCTCAAGGCATGTTTGAAATCTTCTGTTCAGCTCTTTAATTATTTCTTATGTTCGCTTTAGCTACTCGATGTTCAAGAGCAACTTTCAGATGCTATACCAATGGCCAATATCAGTCAATTCCAGCTCACGAATGCCTAGGATACTGATCTGTATGCATTCCATTTCATTTTTGACAACTTCCAATTTTCCTAGATTCACGCTTCTTACATTTCACGTTCCAACTACTAATGGATGTTTGCAGCTGTTTCTTCTCATTTTCAGTCGTGCCATATGAGCAAATGAAGGACTTGAAAGCTTGACTCCATTCATGCCATTAAGGTCAACTCTACCTTGAGGCAGCAACTCTTCCCCAGTTGTAATTTGAGTTTTTTCCAACCTGAGGGCCTCATCCTTCAGCACTATATCATGGAATGTTCCGCTGCTATTCATAAAGTTTTCACTGGCCAATTTTTTCAGAAGTAGACTGATAGGTCCTTCTTCCTAGTCTGTCTTAGTTTGGAAGCTCCACTGAAACCTGTCCACCAAGTGTGATCCTGCTGGTATTTGCAATACCGATGGCAAAACTTCCAGTATCACAGCAACACACAAGCCACGACAGTACGACAAACTTACAGACACGTGGTAGAATCTGACTATATAAATTTTAATAAGAACAGTGTCCAGGACCAGATTTTAGTGTGTTGATGAATTAATGAGAGGTGAAGAAGTGAACAGTTCTGTTAGCTTTGGTTTCAAGATGCTTTTTAAAAAACAGTAAGGAAATGGGTAGTAGACAAAGGCAAGGAAAGGTTAAAGTTTGGTTAATTTTGTTCTGTTCTTTAAAATATGAGAGAATGAAGCACGTTTATGAGTCAAGTCAGAAATATAGAAGATGAAGACAGGTAAGATAGCTAGAATAATGGTTTTATATTTGGGATTCTCCAAAGGGTGTCTCATATGTACGTGGAAATAAGTACACTCATATTCTATTTTATCTGTCTTCCACCTCAAAGTCTTATGCCTACAAGCCTCTTGAGAGAGAGACCTCAAATTTATTCCTGCCTATACATTCGATGAATAGTTCCGTTGAATACCTCAGTCAATTCTTTTGCTCAGCAGAGCAAGCAGTTCTCTGACTAAATCAAGAAACATACGGAACACTGTGTCAGAATGTATAGGCAATCATTGTCTTCACAACTTCATGTCTATATTTCCTCATCTTGGCTCCTAGTTACGTGTCCATCTCTCCATAAAGTATCCTCTTTATGTCTATATTCTTCATAGCTAACTCAGTGCCCAGTATTCAGTAGGTGCTCAATAAATATTCCTTCAATAAATGAATAAATAAGTCCAGTAATGAATAATGCTACATTCCCAGAAGATGTCAGATACATGGAACCCAATTACATGGGATCTAATCCTACTTAGGATGTGATTTTTACAAAAGGATGAAAAACTTGACTTCAGGTACAAGTTATACTGTAATATTCATCTGATAATTTCAACTATAAAATAAACACAATAAATTAGGAACATATTCATTTTCTAAAGTAAGTGGTATAGCTACTGAAACAACAGGAAAAATCTTTCTACTTTACCTTTTTCTTATAGAACCTTTGCTAGAAGATCAATGCTACATCAAATCCTTCCTTCCCTCACAACCCAATTAACTCAGTGCTCACTCTAATTTGGTTTAATTCTTATCAATTGTAATCAAGCATCTTTTTGAGCACATAACACGTAGTGAGTTTCAAGATTATTTTCTAAGGAATTAAATGAATTTCCCTTTCAAAAGTGGTTTTCAGAACAATTTAATACATTTGTGATTAAAGTTTGGTTGCGGCTAATAATTCTTTGATCATTTTATATACACTGCTAAGAGGCAATGGTGTTAGATTTCATGACTACAAACCTGTAGAAGCGACGTGCTGTAGCAAAAGCACAAACCAACTCAGGCTAAAAATGCAGAATGCATGCATGATTCTCTACCACCTGCATGCTGTGAGGTTTACTGAAAGTGTGTTAACTTCCCTAAGCTTTGCAGCTTCGGTTATAAGATAGGGACACTACTACCCACATCACAGGATTTAGCAAGATATATATGTGAATTGGCAGATAGCCAATACATTTTCACATTTTTATCATAAGTTTCCATTTTAGAGGCCCCCAGGAACCATAAAAAGCTAACATGATCTTAAGTTTAGAGTATTTAGAAACTGAGTAGACAAGAGTATTCAGAAATTGAGTAGACATAAAAATGTACCAAAAATGATGAAATAATTTGCTGGATGAAAAAAACATAATTTTCACATTGCCACAGTATCCCTGCTTTTAGTTACTAAGCTTCACCTTGTTTGTAATTTGAATGAAATAGAAAGGTACTATCTTAATTTCCTAGGTGGGCTGTAACAAAATACCACAAGGTGAGTGGCTTTCAAGAACAGGAATGTATTGTCTCAGTTCTGGAGGCTAGGAATCAAAATTTAGGACATAGGCAGGACCATGCCCTCTTTGTCCACTCTAGTGGAAGATTCTTCCTTGTCTCTTGCAGCTTTAGATGTATCTTCACATAGTGTCTTCCTCCTGTGTGACTCCATTTGTGTCTGTTCTCCCCTTTTATTTGACACTATTCAGATGGGATTAGGACCCACCTACTCAAGTATGACCTCATTAACTTAATTGATAACATTTTCAAAGAAAGAACCTATTTCCAAACAAGGTCACATTCATAGGTAGAGAGGTTAGGAATTCAACAAGATCACGTTTTTTTTCAGGGGATGTAGTTCAATCCACAACAGTTATGCTTCCCTCCTGTTACACCTCCTTCCACAAAGTTATCCCATTCATGTATTTAAAATGTATATTGAATCACATTCTATATGCCAGATCATGGACTGAGTAAAATGAGAGTAGAGATTTTGCTATCTGGTAGAAAAAAAAAAATCACACACATACACACACATTCAAATATATCTGATGTGCCAGATAAGCTCATCTCAGTATTCTCCCAAGTAAGAAAAAAAATCACTAACAACAAAAATCATCCTCCATAAAATGTATTCAGATTAATTTTTTGAATGAAAAACCCTCCAGAGGGTCAAATATTATATAAGGTATACCACCAGTGTTATATTGTTGACGTTGCTATTGTTGATGTGTGCTGTTGAACTGATTCCGATTCACAGCTACCCTAGAGGACAGAGTAGAACTGCAGTGGCTAAGTGATACAGCTGCTAACCAAAAGGTTAGCAGTGCAAATCAACCAGCTGCTCCTTAGAAACCCTACTCTGTCCTCTAGGGTCACTATGGGTCACAATCTACTAAACTGCAATGGGTTTGGTTTTGGTTCGGTATAGGGTTTCCAAGGCTGTAAACCTTTATGGGAGTAGATAGCCAGGTCTTTTCTCCAGCAGTGGCTGGTGTGTTTAAACCGCCAACCTTTGGGTTAGCAGCTGAGTGTTTAACCATTGCTCCACCAGGGCTAACATACCAGTATTATAATAACAGTTTATCTGCCCAGCAAATTTGAATGCATGAGTACATCAAGACTGATGACTCAGCCTTCTTTTCCTCAGACCTTGACTCTATATCCTTGTGAGTGAGAAACCTTCCTGTTCTTCTTCTATGAGAAGAAATGTGTGCATTAAAATTTCTACTTGTTTAAGTCAATTTTCTATCACAGATTTATAAATTGGATAAAAGACTAGAACTAAGATCAATCATCCCAGAGGGTTTTGGTCACAAAACTAGTTAGTGACAGAGAGAAGACGTGCACACAGCCTTCTTACTAAAAATCAAAAGCTTGGATATTCTATACTTCTTAGACTTGAAAAAGTATTGGAACTCCCTCAGGACATCAAAAATTGGCTTCTTCTAAATGAGCACTGAACAGACCGTCCCTCCAACCCAATACTTTCCCACATTATTATCTGGACCTGTAGACTGGTTTTCAAACCCATTTTTAATTCAAGGATTTATTTTCATGCTAAAGCTAACATAGAAGCTGAAATATAGGAAGGAGATAAAACATGGATATCTTGGTTGACTGCATAAACTTCCACCATTAAACCATATTTGCCCATCCCCTCAGTATTCTCAAATGCTGCACATCCTTCAAGTTTCACAGAAAAATATTTTAAAATACTGAACGAGAAAATAGAGTTCAATGGCTTAAGAAGTTTTGGAGATTAATGTGAAACTATGACAAACAGTTCTTCAGTAGTAAATGTAGGTATACTATTTTGAGAGTTTTCTATGTTTTGCTTTTTTCACAATAAAGGGCTTTATTTATTTTGAAAAATTTAATGAACTGTTGCCTATGAAATAATATTATGTTTAAAAAAAAGTGAACATAAGGAAATCACATAATTCTCAATTCCAATACTGCCAAAAATACAGAATATGAAAGATATTAAGAAATGTTAGAAAGTGGCTGTCTCCTACTGGTGGAATGATAGGTGACCTCCTTTTCCTCGTCCTTCTTCTCTGTGTCTGGTAACTTCTCTACAATAAATATCATTATTTTGAAATATTATATCTCATTATGAAAAATTTAACTAATATATGATAGTGCAAAAAAAGTAAAAGTACCCAAAATTCCAAAATAATTTTCGTTTCAATAATGTCCAACATGTTCACAATTCATTATCTGACTTACTTGCTAATGAATCTTTTCATTAGTAGAAGTTTTACTGACTCCTTCACATTCTTGTTTCTGAGACTGTATATTAAAGGATTCACCATGGGAGTCATCACCCCATAGAACATGGATATGAGTTTGTCAGTAGCATCCAAGTCATTTGAACTAAGTGTCTCTTTAGATTTAGGCTTCATGTACATGAAGAGAATAGTCCCATAGGATATAATCACCACAGTCAGGTGGGCTGAACAGGTGGAGAAGGCTTTGCTTCTCCCCTCAGAGGAATGGACCTTGAGGATGCTGGAAATGAATAATGAATAAGAGATGACAATCAAGAGCAGTGGCATCAATGTGAACAATGTTGTGACTACGAGCATGATAAACTCATTGCCTGAGATGTCAGCACAAGCCAACTTCATGGCAGCCAGAATTTCACAGGAGAAATGATTGATGCTGTTATTCCTGCAGAAAGGCAATTGTACCACAAACACAGTTTGTACTGCAGAGTTGACAATCCCTGCAAACCAGGACCCAGTTGCCATGGGCACGTAGGAATTCTTGCTCATAATCATGGGATACCTCAGAGGGTTGCAGATGACCACATAGCAGTCAAAGCCCATCACACCCAAGAGCACTCGCTCTGTTGTCCCCATGGCCAAACCAAGGAACATCTGCACTGCACAGCCAGAGATGGAAATGGTCTTTCTCTCTGAGAGGAAACTCACCAGTGTGGAGGGAATGGAGGTGGTGGTGTATCAGACGTCCAGGAAGGAGAGATTCCCCAGGAAGAAGTACACAGGCATGTGAAGGTGAGAGTCCAAGGTGCTGATTAAAATAAGGGCACCATTGCCCAGAAGGATGAACACATACATTATTAAGATCAGCACAAAAAAGAGTAGCTCAAGCCTAGGGTAACCAGAAAGACCCTTCAGAAAAAATTCCACTAGAACAGTTTGGTTTTCCCATTCCATTTTACCATTTCTCTTTTACCTATAGGAAGTCAGAGACATTGAAAAAAAAATTAAAAACAAGTCCACATACACAAACTCACAAATATAAAACTCATGAACTCAATGAGAGGAAGAAAGAGAGAAAACAGGGACGGGGTGGACGTAGAGTACAAACGAAGAAAAGGGAAGGGAGTGAAGAAATAAACAATACAGAAAGAGAAGGAAGGAATGAAGGAAAAGCTATTGTATGGATCACTTGCTCTGGGCCAGGAAATTTGCGAGAGTTTTTTCCCCCATTCATTACGTCATTTAACCCCCTGCCCCACAATATTATCATTTTAAAGGTAAGGAATCTTAGTCATCTGGTGCTGCTATAACAGAAATACCACAAGTGGATGGCTTTAACAAAGAGAAATGTATTTTCTTACAGTCTAGTAGGCTACAGTCCAAATTCAGGGTGTCAGTTCCAGGGGAAGGCTTTCTCTCTCTGTTGGCTCTGGAGGAAGGTCCTTGTCATCAATCTTCCCCTGGACTAGGAGCTTCTCCGCACAGGAACCCCAGGTCCAAAGGACATGCTCTGCTCCTGGCCCTGCTTTCTCTGTGGTATGAGGTCCCCCACTCTCTGCTTGCTTCCTTTTCCTTTTATCTCTTGTAAAATAAAAGGCAGTGCAGGCCACTCACCAGGGAAACTCCCTTTACATTGGCTCAGGGATGTGACCTTAGTAAGGGTGTTACAATCCCACCCTAATCCTCTTTAACATAAAATTACAATCACAAAATGGAGGACAACCACACAATACTGGGAATTATGGCCCAGTCAAATTGATACATACATTTTTAGGGGAACGTAATTCAATGCATGACAGAATCTTAGCTAACAGAGTTTAAGTCTAGAGTGTTCAGCTAATATATCGCAAAGCCTACACTTAAACTCAGGCCTGCCTACCTATGACGTATACTTATCTGAGATTTCTCTATACACTATAAAAGCAATACAGAACAATTACATCAGAGGTTTCTAAAGTTACTTGAAAAAGGCAGCCTGGCTCCTATATCAGGCTGACTTAACAGTAATCTTACAGGTTTTAAAAAGCTAAAAGAAGTGTGTCGTATGCAAGGTGAGCACAACTACTATTTATTGTGTGCCTGATTGCCCCAAAATCATGTACAATGATGTAAAGCCCAGTAATCTGAAATTTCTTGTTACAATACAAATACCTGTTAATGGGAGAAGAACATTATCCACAATTTTACTTTAAATTATAATATGCTAAAATATCATATAGTAAAATTGGCGTTTTTCTCACTTAGTGTACAATTCTATGGTTTTTAAAACATGCGTAGATTTGTTTAACCACCATCATAATCAGGATACATATTTCTTCCATCACCTCAAAAAAATTCCATTGTGCTACTCCATTTTATTCATTCCTTCTACCCACCCGTAAGCCCTGGGAACCACTAATAAGTTTTCTTTTTTCTAGGATGTCATATAAATGGAATCATATAATATGCAGCCATTGAGTCTGGCTTCTTTCATTTAGCATTAAGCCTTTGAGATTCATCCAAGTTGTTGCTTGTAACAATTATTTGTTCATTTTTATTGCTGGATACTATTCTATTGTGTGACTGTACCACAGTTCGTTTATCCATTCACCTGCTGAAGGACACTTAGGTTGTTTCCAGTTTGGGGTAATTATGAATTCAGATACTATAAACATTCGTATACAAGTTTTTTTGTGAACATAATTTTTCATTTTTCTAGGGTAAATATCCAGCAGTAGCAGAGGGGGTCACATAAGAACTGCATTTTTAAGTTTGTAAGAAACTGCCAAACAAGTATTCCAGAGTGGCTGGATCATTTTTCTATTCAACCAGCAATGTAAGAGAGTTCCAGTTGCTTTGCATTCTTGTCGGAGCTTAATATTTTCAGCATTTTTTTTTTTTTTACGCATTCTAATAGGTATGTAGTAATAGTTCATCATACTTTTAATTCGTATTTTCATAAAGGCTAACGATGCTAAACATATTTGCATGTGGTTTCTTTTTTTTTTTAACCATTCTTATATTTTCTTTAGTTAAGTGTTTGTGTTCTATGTCCATTTTTAATTGTGTTGTTTGTTTTCTTATTGTTGAGTTTTGAGAGTTGTTTATATATGCGAGGTATGAATCCTTTGTTTGGATATGTGATTTGCATTATATTTTTCCCAGTCTGTGGCTTATCTTTTCATTATCTTAATGCAAAAACCAAAAACCCAAACCCACTCCTGTCCTTTCCAACTCCTAGCAACTCTATAGGACAGAGTAGAACTGCCCCATAGAGTTTCCAAGGACCAGCTGGTGAATTTGAACTGCGAACACTTTGGTTAGCAGCCGTAGCACTTAACCACTATGCCACCAGGGTTTCCATCTTAATGCAAACACCTATTAATTACCATTTTAGTTGTTTGCTACCCAAGCCCAATTAAACAGGACCCAAAAGAAAGCCTATGATAAGAAAGACATTTTCCAACAGGGCAGTTCTCTCATACCTCTCACTTTGGTTGATTCCTCAGGGAAATATCCACTACTACCACCCACAAATGAGGAACTGAGATTTTTGTCTCCAAAGACCTCACTGCAGAACATCTCAGGCCATCTCTTAATTTTCTCTCAGGAACATTCCCTCCCCGCTACACACACATTTCTAGTAATATTCTTGTCTATGGAGACAAGGAATATCCCCAGAATCAATTATAAGTGCCCCAATTCATTCACAAAACCAAAATGAATTTCTGGAAATAAACAGACATTTAACATGTAAACCATTTCTCCTTGTTTAGGAAACTTGGCACACGTTTAAGGTCTGAATTGCATCCTTTGGACCCCCTTTAATTAGCTCCTAACCACCCAGATCTGCTTTTGGCCATTATAAGGGTACTTTTCCTTCTATCCTATTTGCCTTTATTTCCATTAGTTCCTCCATTTTTACTTTGGGATTCTTTTATACCCTAAAAGTATATTTGTTCTGAGTCCCAGATTCACTTTCTTAATGCTAAGTGATAAATACAGCCACCCAAATCCCAATCACCTGGTTAATGATGAGTGCGAAGCACCAGCCAATCTCACTATGAGAACCACTGTTCTAAACACTGCCACTGGGCAACTCACTATCGAGTCAAGTCCGCTTTGTCCAGTGGAAAGAACATGAATTAAAACCCTAGCTTTTCCAGTTACTAGCTATGTGACCTTGGGCAATTTACTTAACTTCTCTGAGCTTCAGTTTCCTCATCTACACCATGGAGATTTTAATATCCTCATCAAGGGAGTGCATGTAAAGCACCTAACATACATATTTTAGTTTCCTTCATCTTAACTGATTTATTGAGCTTGTTCTTTCAAGAGCTTTTATATTTCTGACCACAACATCACCCTCCTAAAAGAGTATCTTTTAAACTTTATCTATCAGACCTGCAAAGCTATCAGGTCTCTTCTTACCCAGTCAAGGCCACTATTTTTCATCACATCCATGACATGACACAAATGCACATTATCTCAAATTCTACGCCTTTTGTAGTGAATACTGTTGCAGCACTGTATCAAAGGCCCAGTGTAGTTAAAATAAGGAACTCACAGGTTGACGATTTTAAAGAAAGGCTATTTCATTTCATTCATTTAAGAATTTAAGATATGTGTGTATGTATTGCACACATATTTTATATCTAAAGTCACCATAGAAATGCGTTACCAACGAGAAAAAACTCAAAAATATTCAAAACAATCCCCAAAATACCCATGCAATCATACCTATGAGAGTCAATATTCTTTCCTGTTAGCTAATGACTCATTTCTCCTGTTTCCTTTTTTCACAAACCCAAACATGTATTAAAAAATAAGTAAGTTTCCCAAATATCATCCCCAATGAGAGGCTCAAGGACAGGGACAGTGCCTATAAAATTGCCTATTCATGATTAGTACTAGACAAACATTCGCTAAACTTAACCAAACAGAACTGAACTGGTGCTGTGACGTAAATTCATAATCAGAATTTTGGTGACACCACCCTGCTTTTAAACTCTGGATCAAGAGTGTAGATTCTGCTGCCTACTGTGCAGCAATCTCATTGGACCAAGGAGAAACGACACCATTAGACATAGAGGAACTTGTAATGTACCAAGGACTAGGAAGTTATATTCTAATGAAATGCATCTTTATTCCCAGTAAGATAAATTCTAGACTCACATCCATCCCTTATGTCTGTTCAAATTGCTTTGTATTTGAAACTACTCTTTTAATAACATTTTTCATTTTTTCTCCTTTTTCTCACTATATTCAAGAGGTTACTCTGGTTTTTTTTTTTTAATTTCTATTCCCTGGAGACTCTCTCTAGTATGAAAATCCCATCCATAAAATTCATGGCTTATTTCAACTCAGTTCATAAAACTGACTCCCCCTTAGCATGTTTTCAAAATCACCTCTGAATGGAAGGTTTCTTTGCCTCCTAGGTTGCAACACAGCCGATTTTTTCTGCCTTGATCTTGTATTTGCAGTCTCTTCTACAGTATTTTCCACTAGACTGATGAATTTCTGAAGAAGGGGTTACCAATAGGGAACCATGATGTTATAGAACTTATTGTTTGGATAACATTGATGGCAAAGGTAGCATCTCAAAATTGTTTTAAAACTTTCTCTACATAACAGCCAAATATGATTTAAGAGGGAGTATATTTTGGTTCTGCTAGTTCAGAAGTAAGAAAAGAATGAATACTGAGCGGTTAAGTTTGAGAATATGGCAGATTTCATTTGCCCTTGAAGCCTAGGTGAAAACACTGCCCCATTGTGAAGGCCCAGGAAATTCTCTAAAGAATCTTCTCCAGGCTCAGGAAAGCAATTTAAATATTTCTTGCTCTTAGGGACTTATGCAATTGTCTAAGCCATAAATTTAAATTGCTTCAGGGGAGAGATGTGTGAAACTTTCAGAAACTTCAAAAACAATGCCCTAAAGATTTAATTATATTAGACCCATTAGTCTATTTCAACTA